AGTCCCCCGCGATCGTAAACGGCAACGACGGCAACACACCGCAGGCGCTGCCCGCTCAGACATCTTCCAATGCATCCACATCGTCTTGGCCGCGTCTGCGCCAAGCCGCGACTGCGCTTCTCGATTTCGATCAGGATTAAAGATGTAAAGGTTTGGCAGCACCTTAAGGTTCAACAACGTATCCATGCCCAACGTTGCTTTCTATTTGTTTTCACGTCATTCAACCCGTAGGAGTTGCTCGAAGCTTGAAGTCAACCAAGTCCCCCGCGATCGTAAACGGCAACGACGGCAACACAGCGCAAGCGCTGCCCGCTAAGACATCTTCCAATGCATCCACATCGTCTTGGCCGCGTCTGCGCCAAGCCGCGACCGCGCTTCTCGATTTCGATCAGGATTAAAGATGTAAACGTTTGGCAGCACCTTAAGGTTCAACAACGTATCCATGCCCAACGTTGCTTTCTATTTGTTTTCACGTCATTCAACCCGTAGGGGTTGCTCGAAGCTTGAAGTCAACAAAGTCCCCCGCGATCGTAAACGGCAACGACGGCAACACACCGCAGGCGCTGCCCGCTCAGACATCTTCCAATGCATCCACATCGTCTTGGCCGCGTCTGCGCCAAGCCGCGACTGCGCTTCTCGATTTCGATCAGGATTAAAGATGTAAAGATTTGGCAGCACCTTAAGGTTCAACAACGTATCCATGCCCAACGTTGCTTTCTATTTGTTTTCACGTCATTCAACCCGTAGGGGTTGCTCGAAGCTTGAAGTCAACCAAGTCCCCCGCGATCGTAAACGGCAACGACGGCAACACAGCGCAAGCGCTGCCCGCTAAGACATCTTCCAATGCATCCACATCGTCTTGGCCGCGTCTGCGCCAAGCCGCGACCGCGCTTCTCGATCTCGATCAGGATTAAAGATGTAAAGGTTTGGCAGCACCTTAAGGTTCAACAACGTATCCATGCCCAACGTTGCTTTCTATTTGTTTTCACGTCATTCAACCCGTAGGGGTTGCTCGAAGCTTGAAGTCAACAAAGTCCCCCGCGATCGTAAACGGCAACGACGGCAACACACCGCAGGCGCTGCCCGCTCAGACATCTTCCAATGCATCCACATCGTCTTGGCCGCGTCTGCGCCAAGCCGCGACTGCGCTTCTCGATTTCGATCAGGATTAAAGATGTAAAGATTTGGCAGCACCTTAAGGTTCAACAACGTATCCATGCCCAACGTTGCTTTCTATTTGTTTTCACGTCATTCAACCCGTAGGGGTTGCTCGAAGCTTGAAGTCAACCAAGTCCCCCGCGATCGTAAACGGCAACGACGGCAACACACCGCCATGTTTTCCGTTTATCTGCGCTAGAAAATACCTCTACGGAGCGTTTGTATGTTCGACGGTCCGGAAATCACTAGGAGACGACATTAGTCAGTGCCACTATGTGATGAACTCCACACGAGAATTATTTTTTATCTTTAATGTAAGATTGTTCTTCGCTCGCCCAAGCGGATTGAGTAAGCGTATTGGGATTGAGATGATCGTAGCTGCGTTCACCAGCGCATGGAGGGGATGTGTTCAAAATTTCTGGGTCCTCTGTCAAAAAAGTTAGTGCCGGCTGTGGCCCTGAACGTTTTGCACATATCGCTGTGCCCGGGCAAGCTGACCTTAATTAGAAACAAAGGTCAGGTGCTGCACCCGATGCCTCTGCGAAATGCTTCTGCTAAGATCCGCACCGTGATGCCACTGTCTTGTAGCACGCTTCCAATTCAATAAGGTTAAGTTCTAGAAGTGCTATAATAGTCCACTAACCTCTCTGCTTATATACATCAACTTTATTCAATGAAGTAGAGTTATGTAAAAGCAGTAAAGGCTAACCCCCTTGTTCACATCAATTGACACTATTCAATCACTGCAAGAAAAGTGGTAATTAACAATAAAATATTTTTGTATTAAATGTTTCGGATAGGCAGTTTTTGTACGAGGTACATTTGGCCATTATTATTTGACGTTATCAAAGGCTTTTATCAAAATCTTCCTTATTAAAAAAAAATGCAACCAAAGTGATTATAGGTTTGTAAAAATGAATTTTTAAAGTCTCATTTATGTACGCGCCTTAGAAACATGTTGACCCATTTTTCTAGCTGCGTTTTACGTTATTTCCGAATATATTTCACAGCCCTGGTGATCAGATCCCACCAGGAGAATATTTAATCACGAAAGTGATTTGTTTACCTTCTAATTCGAGGTGTCAATTCGAGAATTAACACCTCGGTCTAGTGCTCTCACAACGCAGCAACTATCAAAGTTTTGGGCAAGTGCTAGCTGCACTCCTTTCACCTTTAAGCTGAAACTGCAGCCACGGACACAAGGTCACTGTTTTGAAGCGTTCTTCCACAGAACGAGCACTCGCGCAAGAAACGCACGCCTCAAAGCCAGGAGCGCGGGCTAGCTCGCGCGAGTAGCTTTGGCTGCAGTCTCAGCTCAAGGGTGAACAGAGTATAGGGAGTATTCACTGGTGGCCATATCCGTGTGCGCTGCTGCTGAGCGCGTGCTGACGGCGAACTTCCACAGTGCTTTTGGAGCGTGCATTTAGCACCATCAAGATTGCCGGTCCTAGCGGGCTATTAATGTGAGCTCGTTCTGAGCATGCGCTCTAAACATCGCCCTCAAATATGTCGTCCAGTTTGGCCATAGCTGTGTGCGCGAACGCTGAGCGCGTGATGATGGCGAGCTTCCACAGTTCTTTTGCAACGTGCATTCCGCACCATCAAGAGCGCCGGTCTTAGCAGCCTATAGCCTAGTTCACATGCAGCGGTTTTGGCCCTAGAGCGGCGCGATTTGTGCCGTCGCGGCGCTCTGGCCAGCACCAGCAATTCTGCGGCACGAGCGCCGCGACGGCAGAAATCGCGCCGCTTTAGGGCCAAAATCGCTGCATGTGAAACCCGCTTACTGATGTGAGCTCGTTCTGAGCATCCGCTCTAAACAGCACCCACAAATATGGCGTCCAGTGAATACTCCCTATTGGCGACGTGATCGAAAGCGTTGCTGTGGTCGACCCACCACAATTGGCTGAATGCTGACTACGACGTCAGCAAAGGATGTCTCATCGACGGAAATAAGAGGAACGTTAGAACTTCAATTTTGACGGTGTTGGTAGTGTTGCTTTGAGAGCGCTATGATTTCCGGCTTCCATTATGCCCATTACAAACACCATCGAACTTGGTCTTCACAAGGTAATGACGTCACGAAAGGTAACCGAACGAGGGCGCCACCGCAACATCTCGCCGCTAATAGTGCCTTAAACAAAATCAGGGTGTTCCCTGGATAGCTGATATATTTAAGAGAGGAGCAGCTCAGATCATGAAGAGCATTTAATGGCGGAACCTAGTGCGCAAATCGGTTGCTTATGCGCATTTCCGCGTTGACGCGTTGCCAGGATGATAGCTGGTGGGAAAGCTGAGCCTATTGGAGACTCTTGGGGACGATCGAGAACTTTCGCCCTCTCCTCGCACCTTTACTGAAAACGCGGCTCATGGTCAGGGTTTTGTGTTTTCATCAAATATCGATCAACCATCAAAAGTAACCTCCAAGTCGGTTTTATTGCAATAAAGAAAACACGAAAAAAGAAAAAAACCGAACGCCGCTTCGCCTTTAATAAAAGTTCACAAAATTTCAGTGAAAAAACTCTTTACCTACAGCTTCATTTTACGTTTGTGTAAAACGCAGCCCACACTGAACTGACCGCGGATCTACCTTTCTTCGGGGGCTACACTCGCTGTCTTCGTTTCCTTGCCTAGTCGGTTCGGGGCCATTTTTCAAGCATGCGGTTCCCCGAAGGATAAGAAATGCCACGCCCACGTCCTGTTTTTTTCGACTTAAGTCCCTCTAAAAACTAGGGCGAGGCGTGGAATACAATTTTTAACCCGGTTAGTCGACGACCTTTAATCGATTTATATCGATTAATTGGTTTTGTTCATTCCCATGTATACTTTTTTTTTTTTTTTTGCTTGATATGGTAGAAATGGCGCAATGTGCAGTTTAGGATTTTAAATCAACCTCGATGTATTTGCGGCGAGAAGTTTCGGTATCACCGCCTGGTGGAATGGTTTCGCAACCCAGAGTGAGGATACTTCAACTTCATCTCTGCTGGTGCAAGCACATGCAGTGCCAAGCTCCAATGCACTATGACAATTAAACTCAACCGCGTGAATAGCACGTGCACTATCCATAGTGGGGAAAACAGAAGCGCCCCTAGCGAGCTTCCCACCGCGAATGGTTGAGAACAGTCAAAAGACACGTGCACTAACAAATTATTGTTTCAGCCAGGCAAGGAGGTTCGTTGATATCCTCCGGCAATAGCGAACACTTTTGATTGTTAACAATAGTAGCTGCTGCGCTAAACAGAAACTCTGACTGCATTCAAGCGCCTGGGACACGTACAAAGGCCCATCCACACACTTGCAACTGCTTACGACCGAAGAAGCTAAAAACCGGTTTTTAAGCCTTTCGTGGTAGCATACGACCGGGTGCGCTGTGGCGGAGCCGGTCATAAAGCTTAACAAGCGGCCTAAAAACCAGTCGTGTCGAAGTCAGTTAGAGTCAAATGCAAGTGTGTGAACGGGCCTTAAACCTTCTCTACTTGTTTGGAATTACAAATCTCTCCCCTGCAGTTTACTTTATGTCAAAGGTTCATCTAAAGTTTGCTTTCATACTTGTGTGCTTGTCCACGTCTGCATGGTGAAAGCGTTAAATTTTTACTTTAGCAGTTTATCAAAGCTTTACCGATCAACTGGTAAAAACATAATACGCGATTACAGACTCGATTAATTGGTAGGTTAGTCGGTCAAGTGGCCAGGCTTGCTAGAAACCAATGTTTTGGTTCGACAGAAAACACTAACAAAAACAAAAGTCTAATATTCGCGAAGAAAAAAACCAAAACAAAACACCCTCGAATTTGAATGTAAACAAACCCCGAAACCACGGGACCTAGGGTCACACTAAAGCTCACCATGGCCTTGACACCCTCTGGGAAAAGGAAGCGCATATAGAGCGTGTCCACGGTGTCGTTGGGTTCCACGGGGCACTGTCTTTGCAGCAGCAGCGGACCGGTGTCCAAGCCGTCGTCAGCCCAGAAGACACTCAGGCCTGCCGTGGTGTCCCCTTCCATCAGGGTCCTGAGCGAAGAGGTCGGAATAGCTTCACACCGCCTTAGCCAGAGTCACTAAAGAAAGCTGCGCTTAGAGTATCGGCATTTTATTTCCCAGATTGGGGTTTCGAGGGCTCCCGCCATTTCGATACCTAGTGCAAACGTTGCAGAGTGAGCACGACTGGAAATAGTTGCTACTCAAAAATTCCCCATTTTGACCTTTAAGCCGCAGCTACACTGTTTATACATCGTACAAAAGACACGGTATGCGGAAAGCAAGTCGTCTTTCCTGAAGCTGCTTCTTGCGCTGTTTTGAAGCTGCTTCTTACGCAGAAGTTGCGGTGACGTCAGAACAACGCCGAGCTCTGATTGGCTCTGATCGAAGGATAGTGGGCAGACCTCAAAGCAAGCTGCCTTGAAGTCTACCCACTATTTTTTTTTTTTTTTTTGCGATCAGAAAATAAGAGTTCGGCGTTCTGACATCATCGCAACCCCTGCGCAAGAAACAGACGAAGTTGCGTTCCGCATTCGCTGCAGAAACGATGGCAGAATTATCAGCAAACACGGCTCAAGCGTGTTCGAAGCACGTCTGCTTCACGCATGCTTTGAGAATGTCTGAAGACAGTTTCTGTATGACCACTGTGACCGTCATGCAAGGAACGCCTCAGACGTTACCTGCAGACCGTTTCTTGTATGATTTATTTGATGTTTGACCACGGAATAGGTACCATGTCAGGAAGCTCAACTAGGCGATATCGATTTGGTCTGTCCCGGACTTTGTCTAAGATTTCCCAAAACAAAAGCATTTTTTGAGATTTAAAGTAATTGGAAACCATGATGTTCAGCAACAAGATGGCTCGAGGGTGGCTGCTCTAAAGCGTAGCTTACTTAGTGGCTCTGGTCTAAGCCATGGAAACATCACCGGAAGCCAGCACCACGCTTTTTTTCTTCCCCATCGGGAAGCGCACGCAGACTTTGGAAATTCTCGCAAAATCTTTTTTTGCTCGTGTGCGTGACTCCATCTTTGTAGATTCGTGTTTTCGAGCACGCTTCACGGTGGCGGGACGTGCAGACTTTGGCCGATAGATACTGTGTCCAAACTATTAAGCAGAGGTGGTTAGGGTTCTCCGGGGAGTCGGGAAATACAGAGAGCAAGTCGCTGGAATTTGCCAACAGTGCGTCTCTCATGACGCTTTGTTCCAGATACGATACGTGTTCTGGTGCACTGAGAATGAAATCTCAAATTTCCAGATGAAGAGTGTTCTAGCGCTAGTCATTATAGTAAGTATCAGCAACAGCTGGGCTGGACATAGTGAATCACTATGCGCGTGGACAGGTTCAAAACGAAATTTTGTGGCAGATATCGTATGTGGCGATTCGGCGATTTTCAAAGCCCTCAGAAGTGCCTAAGTGTATACTTTTCCCGCGGTGACCTCCGAAGCCCCATCACTAATATACCTAGTCAGCACCGTCAGTTATACTACCGTAAGGTATTGCGCACGTTCCAATCGTCACAAGCACCCAACAACAACGAGATAACCAGCCCTCTTGTCACCGAGACTGCACACCGACTACCGGGATAGCGCTAGCCTTCCTCATTGGTCATCCTGGTTGAAGGAATATCCGTGATTGGTGCCCCGAGTGCACCTTTGAGGAGCGCCAGCGGTGACGCGAACTTAACCTGTTAGGTGCCAGCTGAAAAGGTTAAAGGGCCGCATGGGGTAGCAGATGCAGGCATTCCTAAGAATGGCAGAACAAGAAGTGCCGTCGTATCTTGAACCGTGGCTGCGCTTGCAAGCTTGAAGCTTTCTAGTCGCCGAAATGCTGTCTAAAGTTTCGCGCTTGAGGCGAAACGACCTCAAATATTTCCCTATTACTCATTCCCTGTCAGAGACTAACATAGATTATGATAAACTCTTTTCCGTGGAAAGATGATGCGGGCGCGAGCTTCACGGAATTTCAGCGAATGTGTACCAGTTGATGGCGGAGGCCCCCCGATGCCTAGGCAGCAGCGACGGGTGGTACACGATGGACTGGTGCTTGGGCCATGTGATCACCTCCATCGGGATGAACTGGCTGCAGAAGGGCATCACGTTCAGCTCGGCGCCCACGGACTGGTACGCCTCCAGGACCTCGGGCAGGGCCACGCCCTTCAGGCGCCAGCGGGGGAACTTGAAGACACGGGTGCCGGCCTCGGACGCTGTCGTCGCTGCGTTCGAATGGAACCCCGGTCTGGTAAACATAAGGCCTTACCGCTGAATTTTCTCCGTCAACCAGTGTCGGCCCTTCTTAGACAAAAAGGCCCAAAATCCAAATTTTTCTGCGCAATTAAACGAGGCCGCCGTAGCGCACAAATTGGACTGCTGCGTCAGCGTAGGGCTGGGATTGGTGTTATCGCTCATCGAACACGAGTCCGAGCAAAACGCTGACGCAGCTTTTGTGTTGCGTCTGTGCTCCGAGCTAGCCTCCGGTCGGTGACGTCAGAGATCCACAACTACGGCCTTCTTTTGTTTAGGGGGTGTTTGTTTTGCACGACTCAGCTGATGACAACGACGTCACCACAGAACGTTTGCTACCGAAACTGCGTGAAAGATCAACTCAATTAAAAAACGACGCAGTCGAATTGTCTAGTTATTTTAATTTGCGATATTGTAAGCGAAAAATGAAACTGCAAGAAAGAAAGCAAAAAGAATGCAAAAAAAAACAGCTGCACAATTTTAATTGTAATTATCGAATCTTTTTTTTCGGCTGTTGCACTTTTGTCTTCGGTATGTGTTTATGCACGACGTGAAATCATAAGAAAATTTGTTATAGCTACTGATACATTCTTGTAGTCACTCACAATAGGCGCGAAGCAATCAGACGGAAGGCGTTGCTTCGCTGCTTTTTATCGTCCTGTAATTTCGCTTCTGCTTCAAAGTCCGAAGGCACTACAGAGAGGAGTGGATATCTAGCCTTGAGCTGGGAAACTAGTGTGCCGCATTCTCGCTTGTATCTACGAAACATTCGGAAAAACCGATCTGCCTTTATTTTTAGCTCCCATTGCAAGCAGACATGAAATTAATGAGAAACGCTGTGTTCACTAATAATTTAAAAAAAAACTTTAAATGGCTGACCAGCTACACGCTGTATAAATATCCCCACCACCACAACTATTATTTAAAAAAAGCAATTGCTGGTCATGGTCATGGCTAAATAATGTAGAACCAATACAATATTTTTTATGGGATGCCTCTTTGAAAAATTCCTCTAAATCAGCAAAGAGATACATTATACTCTAGGTGGTTTAGTGTGTTGGTTTCTAATTTACGATAAGGAAAGAGGGCCATTCAAGACAAACAAACAACACAGCTTACCTGGTCTAAAGTCCTTCGATACTTTCTTTTACAAGTAATGTCCCTTTTTCCTTATCGTAAAAACAGCAACATAATGCTGTAAGGGTGCGGACGCGTGCCACAGCCACACACAGAACATAGGCGCTCGCGCGCCACACAACGTGCTCGGCATTGAGTTCACGCCTTGTTCAGCGGGTGGCACATCACGACATTGTTGCTCACGAGGAACGATGCAATGGGCTCATGTGGAGTGGATTTATGTAGAATAAACCCCTAGACCCTAATAATAGAATAAGATGGTTTGCACTTATTCAAGGGGTACCATGGGTTATCGCGCCTTCAGAGTGAACAGGTGGTATCGAGCACTTCAGTAAAAGTCCTGTGATCTATGGTTTGTTGCAGGTTAAGAAAAGTGGTACAAGCTTCCCCCACGAATCTTTCAACTCGTTTCACTTTGGCAGAGCGAACGCTGGAGTGAAGGTGAAGCGGGTACTCGCTTTCTCCCCAGCGCTCTCTGCTGACGGTTCGAAGTAACGCGTTAGATTTTCAGTAACGTACTATCATACTCACTAGAATTCGAAATGACTAAGGAGTAAAGTATTGTTTTAACATTTCGCGCTGTTGCCTATCAAATTACGTCACTCTTTACTCATTACTTTCGATTAAAATTAGTCATGTTTTTGGTCTCCTCAAAGGGACAACGCGCCCTCGGGACCTCGGTTCTACAGATGTGATAAACACAGAAAAAGGGTAATGTGAAATCGCTCTGTAAAAACTGAATTGGTGTCGAAGTTCGTAAACGCAGCTTATCGCTGACGAATACTGAAACTTAAAGTAACGCTACTAACGTCCGTTCGTTTTTGGAAGCAACGGTAACGGTATTTCGTTACATCAAAGGACGGTAAAGAATATTAGTGACACATAATTTTTTTGTCTATCTAACGAGTAACATTGTTTTCTTTGTTAGTTTTGGTAACGTAACCAACAATGGCCTCGGCTAAAGTGGAAAAAGGGGAGGCTTTGTGGGATGAACTTGTACCGCGTTCTTAGACTGCAACAGACCGTAGCAGAAACAAGTCTGGTCTAAAGTCCTTCGATACCTTCTTTTACAGGTAAAGACAACCGACACGCACGACGAAGATCCTTCCGCTGGAACAAGATAGAGTCCTTCAGTTGATTCGCCTAATGTTAGCCACCATTCGATTTTTAAATCCTGCACCACCACGCAGTCGGCGCTTCAGAAAATGACGTTACTTATGAAGCTTTAGTTTGATACTGCCGCATTAATCATAACTCGGTTCTTTGACGATGGCTCCTCCATAGACGCCGGTTAACGATCATGAACCGTGAAAAGTACCCTGAAAAACTCGGGTCGCATCAACAACCACCTCAGTGTCTACGTCACCCCGAGGAGGCGAACGCGGATTGGACACTAGCGTCGCGTCATCGTTCGGCCGACTCTCGTTTCCAATTAGAGAGGACACGAGCCTGAGCCGAACGCTTGGGTAGCACTCGTGTCCACTCAGCGTTAGCCTTCTCAAGGTGACGTGAAAGATTCCGCGCTACGGCCTTTTCGTATAGAAGGTGTCGGTCGTATTCGACGCGGATAACGGTTCGCGCGCTTACCGAGGATGTCCTCCCTGCCGGCCTTGTCCGGGATGGTGAAGACGGCCACGATGTCGTGCCCGTTCTTGAGCAGCAGCTTGAACACGTCGCTGGCGAAGGCACTCTGGCCGATGATGGCGATCTTCATGGCCGCGGCTGGGGGACCTCAGCTCAATCTGCGCGCAGGAGATCAACGAAACCAACCAGAGCTGCGATTTACGCAAAATTTATGTCTAACACTCCTTCATCAACTTTCGAGTGCTTATAATTAGGGTTCCGTGTTTTCGGTAAACACCGATAAGTACCGCGAAGTAACCCCCCAGCCGGTTTTAACAAAATCGGGGGAAATCGAAAAACCCCAAATGGAAGCTGTTCTTAAATACGAAACACCCACGCTTCATCGGAAGCTTGGGTGTTTCGTAACGAATCAAGTTAATCGAGTCAAAATCAAATTAATAGAATTTATGTGATTTGGGGTAAACTTATTTTATATAAATTAAATGAACTATTATGCAAAGAACAGTTTTAAATGATCGAGCATTGCAAAAAAGCAATGCCCGACATTTTTTTTCCTCTCTCCCCAGAAAATAAAACATAAAAATTTAAAGGTTTCAACATTTATATTTTCAGCATACATGGGTGTAATTTTACGGCCGTTACAAGATAACACTGTTTCAATAGTCCGTGAACATGGTGTCTCTGTCTGACATGCGTCAGAAACAACTAGCTGTAACTGACTTTCTGGTTGCGGAGAAAAGGCATTTGAGAAAACTTCATAACCGTTTCTGTGCTGTGAATAAGCGTTCTACAATATATAGGAGCATGGTTTGATGCTGGGTGAAAAGAATGAAAGCTTCAGAAGGCCGAGAGATGGAGTTGGGTGACCGGTCGCAGTCGGAGCTTCCTGCCACAGCCGCCAAGCCAAGCATATTGCAGCGCGCCGATGAATTTATTTGTGGGAACTGGCACAATGCAAGTAAACAAATGGCCCCAGATGTTTTAGTCAGCGAAGGAAATGAATTGCCATTTGTGGACGTTATCGCCATGTGCGGAATAGGAGAAATCGCAGAGAAATTTTTTCTTCAACTTGACAACGCCCGCCCTCACAAAATCTAAAATACCCAGGAGGCAATCACAAATTTGTTAGACTGTAATCCCTATCCCACCTCCACCTATAAGCATCATCTGGAACCGACATATTTTCATATGTTTATGATGAGAAATGGAAAGATCACGCGGGCATCTTATCGCATCAGTAGCATTGCCCCTGCTTCAAGAGTGGTAAACTTAGCGCACTGCTGCGCATCTCACGCGCTCAAAGTCTTTCTGAAAATTACTGACTTAGGGGTTTCGATGGCGCTCAGCAAGTTTCTAATCGAAAACATATATCTATTTTCACTAATTAAAAAGTTAATTAAGATATTCTACTTAATAAGCCGATTTGTAGCTTTCACAGATTTTGTTTAAACAAATCTGTAAAGCTTAAAAAATACACCCTGTGGATTTATTTTAGGCAAATGAAAATACCCACACCGACACGTGTGTTCGATTTCAAGCACCAAGCAAGAAAGATACCAGGCTAAACACGAGCAAGAAGTGGTGGCCCTTTGAGCAAATACTACCGCTGCACTCCGTTTCTCTCCTCCACCAAAATATAATGCGTATGTGCACTCTATAATATAATTAAATTTGCAGAAAATTCTTTTTACACTGCTTTCGGTGAACGAGAAGATTGAAGCAGATTGAAGCATCTTGAACGCCAGAGAGTAAGAACAAAAATGAGACTACAAACACACACAGGTGCGAGTGTGTGTCTACATTGTGCTTTTAGTCTCGGGTGTTCAATATGTTGAAGGTTCAATAGTTCGCCTGCTTTTTTAAAAGGGTTGATAGCTGGGCTAGTGTGCGCTAATACCGTTTAAATGCCTGCTTCTTTTTTGTTATTGCCATAATAAAGACTCAATTTGCCATGCTTGAACATACTTCCAGTAAAAAAAATATCAATTGAGGGGGTTGCTTAGAAAGTAATGCCACACATTTGTTTTCTCGAAAACTGTTTATTTAAAATATATGGCATTCACGCCAAATATTTCCGCATGTTTCTTGCATACATGCTATCTTTTGCATAACCTCTGCTCAGTTGTTCGGCTTTACGCTAAAGTGTAACAAGGACATGCACGTCCTTCCAGTGCCATCTAGTTTTCGGCTCATGTAGCCAAGTTCTCACTCCACAAATTATGATAATGTCATTTCTTAAACCTTGTTGAGAACAGTGCATCCTTTACACTCTAAACGATGCCTGCGCGTCAACTTACCGGCAAAGCACTCGAAGAGCCAATCTCTGCGATCTACGAAATCAGTTGAGCGAATGATGTGGCAGAACATCTGTTTAGACTTAAAAATGAAGACTGCGCTGTTGCATTACGGAATGCAAAGCGTCATGCTTGCATTGCGTAATGCCACAGGGCAGACTCTATTTTAAAGACTAAACAGATGTTCCGCCTCATGATTCGCCGAGCTAATTTCGTAGGTCGCAAAGATTGGCTCTTCGAGTGCTTTGCGGGTCACGTGCTCGCTTCCGCAGAGGGAGTCTAGCGCCCAGGAAGGAACTCGACGACCGGCGAGGCCGGTCCGAACGTTGACGCCGACGTAATTCAGCTTTGCACCAGTATGACACGGATCTCTCGCGTGTTCACGTCATGGGCCATTTCGCGTTGCAGAGTTCGTACTCGGGTCGCAACCATATCTTTCTGCTTCCTGATTCGCCGACCTTCGTCCGCACGTCGATCCGATTGGATATATCCGGGTGCTCCGCGGGTTAGTGCAGTGCATGGAGATCTTCCTATGGGACGGTCGGTGTTGCGAGGATCCCGCAGGACGTCCAGCGACTCGATAGTTGGTGCGACGTGCAAATCGGTAATATAGACGCTTCACACGCGCGCTAGATGACAACCGCCATTACTGACCTTCTCTCGTCTTACTGAGATACTGAGCCACTGGAAAGGGCGGTGGCGAGTCTCCACGAAGGCCAATGCCGGGGAGAAGCACACGATACACCCCGTTCGAAATACTGCCCTCTCTCGGCAGCTATGGAATCTCCGCACAATGGCGGACTAAAGTCGCAATGTAACGGCACAGCTTATGCGTCTGGTTGGAGCAGGCACGTAGCCAAGGGGGGGGGGGGCATGGGGCCTGGGCTCCCCCCCCCCCCCCCCCGAAATCTTCCATTTTGTTGGGACCTCCTCTCCCCCCTCCCCTTCATACAGCATTTTGTCATGGGCGGCCCTCCCCCTCCCCCCCCCCCACCCCCCCCCCCCCCCCCGTAACAAAATCCTGGTTACGTGCCTGGGTTGGAGTACAGAAGAACAAACACACCCACACAAAAATGTGATGACCGCAGTGACGTTGGACTTTCGACGCTGTTTGATTGGCTCGTCGGCTCCTAGCCTTGGCCGCACGACGACGTTCGCAATCTTAAGGCTCTGACGTTGGGCACACCAAACCCAAATCCATCGGCCGGCGAGCAGGAACTCGATATCTGCGACCAATCAGTATCGGTGTCCGCCGCCCTACACCGTGTTTGCTAATCTCCACTTACAACACACACACACACACACAGAGAGACAGACAGACAGACAGACAGACAGACACACACACACACACACACACACGATGTCGGACTACTAAAACAGAGTCTTTATGGAATGACTTGCACGTCTCACGACGTCAGTTGTTCCGCCATTGTGCAGGGGTTCTCCGACCTTCTAGTAATCGGCACTTGAATTTCGAAAGGGGTCTGTAATATCTAAAATGGCAATGACCGGGCATGTTACGGTAATGATGAAGTGAAGTAAACGGAAGAAGAGGAAATTTAAAAAAAAAAATTATGTCCAAAAACTAGGCAGTTGTGCTGGACACGTGAATTGTCCTTGCATCAGAAACGTTTAGCGATACTCCAGACGCCTACGTTCGCGGCGCATTACGTCGGATAATTTAGCGCATGCGTGTCGCCTTAATTTTCTCCCTAAATTTAGCGGGGAAGTGGAATTGGTGTATAAGTAACGTGATATCAGGTCACATGACGTCAATTTCCCCGCTTAGTTTACCGGAGAAACTGAATTGGGGTGCATAGGTCACGTAACGTCCTAACATGAGACGTCATTGTTACGTCATGTGACGTCACAGGCCACGGATTCAACACCCCAAGTGACGTCAGGTGATGTGACATCGATTTCCCCTCCAAATTTAGTGGGGAAGCTGATGCGTTTTGTATGTCATGTGACGTTAATTTTCCCGCTAAGTTTAGAAGATGAACTAAATTGGCGTATAGGTCACGCGACATCGGGTTACGTGACGTCACTTTCCCCGCTAAATTTAGCGGGCGAAACTGAATTAAAGAAAGGTCACGTACGTGACGTCTAATATTGCGATGACATTCTGACGTCATGTGACGTCACAGGCCACGGCCTCACAAAATCCGGAGCAACTAGCCAAAGATCGTTTCACGCAAAAAACAACCGAAGGTCGCTTATGGCGGCGCCCATGCACAGCTCCTGCAAAGCGCGTATACTCTACCTCGTGGCTTCGCGCCGCGCTTCGGCAGCGCCTGGAAGGAAGTGTTATCAAAGGTATCAATTAGCTCGCACCGGATGGCCAGCATCTACTGAGCTCTTAAGCCGCCACCAAGATAAGCGGAGCAGTCGACGTGGCCAGCGCCGACCTTCTGGTCATCATTGGCCAGTCCGTGATATCGCTACGTTTGTCGATAAAAATTACTAATATTCCACCATCCTCCGAGCGACGAACGCCTCCAGTAAAAGTAAAGGTGGATCTTACTTAGGTCTTTATAAGTCAGAGCGGAGAGCAAGTCGTCTGCTTCTTGCTCAGGAGTGGCGCTGACGTCAGAACGCCGCCGAGCACTGTTTGGCTGATTGAAAGAAGTAGTAAGTAGACCTCAAGACATTTAGCATAGAGGTCTACCCACTATTTTTTTTTTCATTCAGCTAATAAGAGCTCGGCGTCGTTCTGACGTCAGCGCCACTCCTGAGCAAGAAGCAGACGACTTGCTCTCCGCATAACTAGAAACAATATAACCATCACAACTTAAAAAAAAAAAAAAAAAAAAAAAAAAAAAAAACGCGTGGCATAAGTACTATGTTCAGGCTTCTTGGCTCGT